GGCTGGCAACCTCAACTACGGCCTCGAGCAAGTGGAATATTTGCCTGGAGGAGCAAGTGAATTGATCGCGGCACTAGACGCTGATATGGTTAGTAGCCTCATTGATCTTGCTTCGGCTTTGACTTCTGACCAACTAACAACGTTCAGATCCCTGAGCGGGAATGGCTGCGTGCTTGCATCCCCCATCTCCTGGTGGATCCCAAGGTGGCCCTCTCGTGTCCCCCACAGCTCTTCTACAACACACCAGCCTCCGATCCCCTCGGGCAAAGTCTGGACTTCTTTGTACATATCATTGAGCCCATCAAGGATGCCCTTGGAGTGGCCTGGTGTACTGGATCTGGCTATGTTGTTCGCCGTCAAGCTCTGGCGGACATTGGCAACTTCCCTCTGGGAACCCTAACTGAAGATGTCGCGACTTCAACCCTTATGCTCGGCAAAGGTTGGAAAACAGTATACATCCACGAACCCCTACAGTTTGGGTCCGTACCAGAAGACTACGGTGGACATCTGAAGCAGCGGACCCGCTGGGCCATAGGAACTGTGGACACAGCTGCCAAGCTGAATTTCTGCCTCTGGGGCGAGAGCGTCCGGCATCTCACCTTCGCTCAACGCTTCTCCGGATTCATCTACGCAATCCTCAACTTGTTTACTCTCCTTCTAACTGCGTCTCTATTCACTATTCCCATTATCCTCCTGTGGGGCAAGCCTCTCGTCGCCTACGCAAACGACGACCAACTCCACTGGCTCATCTGGGCCTGTTTCATCTCGACCGTCGTCAATCGACTGTGCGAAGCAACATTATTCTCCCCAGCAGGCTACCACACCGGCCAACGAAACTCTCGATTCCAACTGTGGATGGCACCCTACATCGCCGTCTGCATGATCCGCTCATTCATCCTCCCCAAATGGCTCGGCGGCCAAACCCAAGCCTTCAAGCCCACCGGATCCCTCGCCTCAGCACTCAACGAGCGCGACCCGAAGCTCACGAAGAACATGTTCGTGCGTCTCCGGGTGATGCTCCTCAACTACATGGTGTCCTTCCATCTCGCCTTCGTGTACGTGACCCTGGTCGCAGTCATCATCTCCTCGTACCGCTGCTTCGCCATCGAAGACAGCGCCAAAGACATCATCGTCTGTCTCATCACGCATGCCTTCTGGCCGCCGTTTGCCTTCTTCTTCATCTGCAGCTCTATGTGGACGCCGATCGCCTATGCCATCAACCCCCCGATTATGCCAGATCGCGAGGAGCTGCTCGTGCGAGATCAGAAGACTGGTGTTGCTCATCCCACCGAGGAGAGCAAGCGCATCGCGTTCGGTGGCCAGGCTGTGTGGTTCGAGTTTGAGTACTCGGCTGCTACTATCGCTACCGTCTTGGTCTTTGCATATTCTTTCTTTTTCTAGATTAAAATTATACTTATAATATTCTCTTCTTGGCCTTGCATTGGTTTGCATAGCTATGGATGTTGGGTTTCTTTTCTTTTCTTTCTGTCTTTCTCTCTCTCTCTCTCTCTCTCTCTCTTCTTTTCTTTTTCTTTTTCTTTTTCTTTTTCTTTTTCTTTTTCTTTTTCTTTTTCTTTTTCTTTTTCTTTTTTCTTTCTATCTTTCTATCTTTTTCTTTTTCTTTTTTTCTTTTTCTCCTATCATACCTATATACTTAGATGGCGTGGGTCTGGCTTCACTACTTTACATAATCTCATATCATTACTACTTTTTACTTCATAGTCCTGCTAGTGGGTTATATCTGTTAGAACTGAGAGAGTAGTGGTTTTGAACGGGGAAGTCGTTCTCTCGGCATACTCCGGTAAAAGGTCACTCGTTCTACTCTATATAAAACATTGTACATGTTACACATATAAGTACATGGGGTATACAAATTCTATCACGAATATAGAATACTACCTCCCGTAAACAGTCCAGCCGTGAAGGGTTGCTACGCCCTACAAGGCGCCGCCGACTTTCTCGACAATCCACATCGCCAAACGCACATTCCAGCTAACACGGCGTTCGGTTCTCCTCAGATCGTCCCGTGAGATCGCTTGAGACTCCTTCTGTAACCGATCACTCTCTGCCCCAAGTCTTCGCTTCAAGTCCCGATCGCCGGTAACGACTAGCGCACCAGCCTCTAGATCAAGGCTATAGCTACGCTTGGTGTAGTTGCTGCTCCCGACGAACGTCAAACTGGGGTGTTCTTCCTTGGGGAGCGTGATCCATAGACCCTTCGCATGGTAGGTCCAGCCGCCTGGTTCCCCGACCGTTCCGCGTCGCCATTCCTTCAGCTGGATGGAATTGGTTCTCTGTGCCTCGGCTACCCGGTCAAGGAACCGTGCGGAGAGATGGGTGTAGGCGGCGGGAAGCATACCGGAGATACCGGGGGAACCGTAGAAGCCATTGGCCCAGGGGGAAGCTGTGAGCACGGTACCGCGTGTCGTGGATTCAGTATGTGAGGTTGAGGTGCTTGCGATCAACAGAGAAGAGAGGACAGGGTGGATGTTGAAGTAGCCGGCGGTGAACAACCAGCGGGCACCGGAGAATGCGGAGGAGGTGGATAGCATACGAAGGATTGTGGTGACTGCGGGAAACTCCGTAGAGGTATCGGGCTTTAGTAGAGGGGTGAATTGTGCGACGGGATAGACATATGTTCCGTCTGAGGATTTCTGTTCCAGGGCGGGTTTCGATTTGGTTGGTTGAATGAGAGGGCTCAAGACTGTAGAGGCGTAGGAGACGAAGCTCTCGGGGTCTTCCAACGGAGATACCGTGCCGTTAGACGTTGGCCAGTCCAAAAGATACCCAGCAGTGTTATGCGGATCCGGCAGAACCAAGTAGCTCAGACTGCATACTGCATGGTGGATACGGCTGTAATAATCGGCCAGTTCTTTAGAGTTAAAAATATGATATCGATCCACGCGGTTCGTGAAATAATCGTTCGAAAGGTTCGCTCTAGGAGCAAGCTATTAGCCGATGGTTTTAAAGACGAACTTTGGATCAAGATACCATACCCGGAGAGGATAATCTCGTCGTCAATACCATAAAGCTTCATATGCTGAAGACCCCAACCCTCGTTGATTCTTTTGGGGATCCATTTCTTTCTCAGTCCCGTGAGATTTGGGGTATGGAACATGCGGATTTCCACCCTATCCGAGCCATGTTCAGCGACCAACGAGGCCAGAAGTGAAGCGCATGAGGGATTCGGCGTCTCGCGAGTTCCCCGTAAGGCGTCGGTCAAAATGGATACTTTGAGATCGGGATTGTCACGTAGGGCCTGGTTCACGGTCTCAATGAGTTCGTGCTCTGATTTTCCTATATACAGCGTAGAGAGGTAGACGCGCTTCCGGGCTTTTCGTATCTTGCTCTGCAATCTGCCGCATTAGTCCCAGACTATCTCTGTTTGATTAGATCGTACATAGACTTACCTTGAGGGTACTATAGAAACTAGCAGGAGAGTCCAAGATTGTGATCCGCGAAGCTGGAACCTCAAAGCAGGGAGCGATCCGATCAAGCTCCGATGTTATACTTCCCAGGGGTGAAGCTGTAGAGGGCGCATTCGCGCTGGGACTGGTGCTGGTTGTATAGGCCGAGAATTTGCGCTCACAAAGTCTCCTCCGCGCGATCGGCCTGCGCACGACACACCGGAACGTCTGACCGCCGACACGACCAAACATATTTCTCACTCCGTCCGTAGCCACCTGCAATAACAGCAAAAAAAAAACAAAAAAAAAAAAAGCAGCAATTCGCAGGCGGGGCGTCAATTGGAGGTGGAACGTAAACTGTCCGTAGACGTCGATCACGGGCATCGGTGCAAACATTGCAAACCCCACACCGCACTAGACCGCATTGAGCGGGTCCTCGACTCCAATCGATCAAACGGAACAACCAACCGCTTCACTTCGATTAGCATTGCAGACGGACGACGAGCTTACTGCTGCACTTCGCCCAAGATGTCGACTATTCTTCGGACGCTGCGGAACCTGAGGAGGATTGGTATCAAGGTTCGTCGCTGATTCGGGTTTGTTTGTGCGGGGATTCGAGAGCTAATTTTCCATCTCTCCACAGGACTATGGTCACCAGATGCAGGTACGCAACTCCCAGGACCTTGTGATGGATGAATGCTTACTTAACGGGTCCTCGCGTGAATAGAACATCGGTATAGTTTGCCCTCAATTGGCAGGTCTTGGTCGGTTACTGACGCAATTGCGACTTCAGGTGATACCAAAGCCGGTACCTTGATTGGCGTCGACCGCTTCGGCAACAAGTTTTTCGAGAATCTTGAGGAGGAGCTCCCTCGTGAGTACTAGGAGAAGGTATTCTTGGGCCAGTATTAACTGGGGATGCAGTCCGGACACGTTGGGTCGACTACAAGGAATCGGAATTCGACGCTGCACAGATTGAGCCCGGCTGGTGAGGATCCCATTTGATGATACTACTTTCTGGCGGCTGTAGGGCATGTTTCTAAATCTCTCGAACAGGCACGCCTGGATCGCCTACATGGTCGACCAGCCTCCTACTGCGGACAAGATCATGCAGACTGGTCTGCGCCCTTGGGAGTTGTCCGAGCATCGACCTAACCTCACCCTCTCCCGTGCTGCTTTCAAGACCTACAATACGTAAGTTGTCAATTTGTGTCCTTTGGGGAAGGAGAAAAAGAAAGAAAGACAGTCTGAAGGAACAGTTACTAATGCCTCTCAGCGTCAAGCCGAAGTACTCCGCCTGGGACCCTGTGGCAGCTCCCCGTAATTAGGTGAGGAGCAGTCTTCCTTGAGCTTTAACTTGGTTCTGTTTGACCCCAACTGTAAGACCATTGTTGGGTGATGTGTAAATAAAGTTGTCCTATTGGTCGTTTGATTCCATCAGAGTTGTTCCATCTAAAACGCCTTGCAAATTTCCCCGTATGTATAAAGTAGTATCTATTCACAGTTCTATAACAGGAAGGTATCTTATTAAGTGCAAGATGAAAGAAGTGCTCTTCCAACAAGCTTAATTACAAGAATGCAAACTCTCGCCATTTAGAGAACATATACACCAGAACCGAGGTTAGACCAGTGTCGGATTGGCCGTCGGTCTTCGAGCTCCACACACCACCACAACACCTCTCTCAATTTCTCGGTATTCCCCTCGGCTTCGTACGCTCTGGAGAGTGTATACCAAGCTTCAGAGTTGTCCCAAGAGCTACCGCGTTTGGTGAGGGCTGAAAGCAGACCGTAAGCTCTGTCACGAGCGGCGATGCGATTGAGAAGTTTAGGTTCCACGTCCTGGATAGCATGTGGCATTTGATTATGTTCGGTGTCGATAGATCCAGCGAATGATTGTCTGCCTGTGGCCTTTACGTCAGCCTTTCTCGCCGTTGGGCTTTGCTTCTCGGGCGACGCGAGCGTTAACATCGACATATCAAGTTCAATCTCAGGCTCTGGTGGCAGCAGCGGCATCTTTTGATCCCAGATATCAAGGAGAAGGTTTGCCAGGCCAATGGTGGCTTTGGGATGGTCGGGGTCGCGCATTAATGCTTGTTCGAACTGATCCATTGCTTTGTGAGGGTATGACTGAGCATTCGACAAGAACGCCTGTTCCGCTAGGAGGTCGGCCCAAAGTTCGTCGGCACTCTTTGGAGCACCCCAACCACGCTCTCGGAATGATCTAGCGGAGGATTCTTGTGTTGCGCAAAGGGCTTCGACCCGCGAAACATGCTTGGCAGCTTCCTCGCACGCTTCAAACGCATCGTCAAACAACGCTGCTCGCCGATACAGCCCAGCAACGAGAAGCCAAATTTTGACGAGGATACAGAGGGCATGCTTTTGGGCCTGGGCAAGCGGGAACTTAGTCACCGCTTTAGTTGGAGAATCAAACCCATATGATGTTGGCAGACGAACATCCTGTTCTGGCGGCTGCTTCGCGTGACCCACGGGAGGTGGCTGTCTCGTATGGCTCATGTTGTGAGCTACAGGTCGCAAGGGCTGCTTTCCACTTTGTTCCTTGTTTGCAGACACTGCCGCCGTAACCATGTCTGGGGATGGAGTTTCCCCCCCATTCGGTTGCTCTACACCTCCCACGCCATTCGTGACGGGTCCGTCACCATTTATGTGACTATGGTTTGGATGAGGTACATTCTCTCCCTTTTTGAGGGTGCTACTGCGTTTCCGCAATTTCCGCGAGTCTTGAGGGTTCTCGTGGCCAACGTGTTTATCCTCGTGTGTGACCTGAATGGTTGGCGCCTGATCCGACTCGTTCGGTACTACCGAAGGACTATTTCCATCCGTCTTAGGGTCAGATCCAGATCGCATCCGCCTGTCTGGTGCCCGCGGGCCTTTATGCCTCCCAAATATACTGCCGCGGAGACTTTTCACGGTATGACCGGAGCTCGATGGGGGTCTGAGGTTGTCTGTCTGGGAGGCTTTTTTATCGTCAGCTTCAAGGGCCAAATTGCCGAATAGAGTTGCAAATAGTCCAAGTAGTTGCTCGCTATGGTTAACAGCAGCCTCTGGGCCCTCCAGGAGTTCAACAAACGCCAACTGGGTCATGCGCGTCTCGATTATACGTTCTTTCTCACGGCCTCGAAGTTCCTCGATTAAGGTACGTTGTAACCCAGCGCCGTTTACCTGGTCTTGGGTGGCCTGCTGTTGCTTTTGTGGTCTTCTCTCGTGGTGGGCTAGAGACGTGACCGCGGCAGGGAACTGTTCAAATGCAGCCTCGCAGGAGCGCTCGGCAATATCAAAATCATGCTTTGCACTTAATAATAGGGCAAGTAGATGCCATAGCGGAACAAGGTCCCGTTCCCGCGTAAAATACCCCTGGACGGTGCCTGGGTGTGTCTTCGCTGTCAATGCTGTCTTGACACAGTCAATCGCACTATCCAGATCTCGATCTTCTGCGAGAAGGAGAGCAAGCGTATATAGAGATGAGTAGTTATCCTCGTCTTCTAACTCTGGCGCAGTGCTCTTTTCCAGATAATCAATGGCCTCAGACCGTATGTCGTCACGTTCTTCATTCACGGGTGTCCAGTTAGCCCAGGCCGCAAGACCTATACCAACACCTCTATAAGCCGCAGCAATGTCAGTAGGAGACACTGCCTGAGAGTGAGTTGAGCTTGTATCTGATGTGATCAGAAGCTTTACTTGCTCCTCGTCATCACCCTCAACTTCTTGGACATGCTTGTTTATAAACTCCTTCATGAGAGTCGTCAACTCCCTGGCTTTCTCGGCTTCTTTTGCCGAGCCGAAACAACACAGCATAGTGACCCCCTCGGAGAGAGTGCGCAACAAGGTGCCATCATTTTCTAATTCTCCATATTGTGCCGACTTCTCTGCCCTTTCTTTCGCACTCACAACGATCTCAATATACGAATCAAGAGCCTTTAGAGCGAGGTCAAAGTCTGCCAATGCTGAGTGAACGTGAAATAGGCGCCGGAGTATCAAGTGGGAATGGTATGTTTTGGTAGCAGCACGATACAGGATCTATCATAGAGGACATTAGAGCAATCAACGAATGGGTTTCACTCAACACTTACATCGAGGACATTTCTGCCCACTGCGTTTTGGCCCCTTTCACCCAGATCTTCGTCGGTCCATTGAGGTCCACAGAGTATTTGCCAGTTCGTGATTACTTGCTCCACCCAGTCTTCGATTTGTGTGTTTTCGGCATGTGCGTGGGGAATTTCGTCTCACGCAGGAGGCTACTCTCGTACATCGACTCCACACGCCGTATTTCAGCTGCAAGCTGCTGACGTTCTGGCCCGCTTGCCGGTGGCACGTAAGCTAAATCATGTTGCAGGGTGGCTGACAAGAGGTCATAGTATGACTTCCATGTTAAATGCCTTGGTGTACAAACGTCAAAGTTGTCGGTATGAGGCAAGGGCCCTTGTTTAACATGTGGGTGAGCAGACCACGCCCGAAGGAGTCTGAGCGCGGTCTGCATGAGGGCTTCGTCAGCCACGGGAATAGTCCTGAGAGCTTCCGTGCTAGCGACCAGTGCGCTTTCCGACGCGAGTTGCTCAGACCAGTGTAAAAACTGGGGGCTATCTGAAGACAGCTCATTGTGACTGTTCAACCATGAAGTAAGTGACTGAAGAGTGTCCAGTGCGTTGGCGGACCCGGATACTTTGTGTTGCCCGGCACCTATCACCGTTAGAAAATGGCAAGTCGCTCAGTAATTGAGATATATACCTTTGAGATAGCATGCCTTGGCAATGCATACTTTAGTCCATGACGAGAGCTCCTCTCCAGTGCCTGTGAGCTTATGAACTGTCTCATCGAAGTCATCCGGGAGACGCGCCGCTGCCAACCCCGGTTCATTGAGTGTCCAGTGTACCCATCCTAGGCAAACTTGAGCTTGAAAAATATCTTGTGGAGGGCCATCTGCCTTTTCAACGGTAGACAAAAGGTGGTGAATAAGTTCTGGCAACGCCGAGGATGTGGAAGCGGAGGAAGATTGAGCAGATGATGGCCGTTGCGGGGAGTGTAAGGCAACCTGGTATTCAGCAGAGGCTACCTCTAACAAGCCTATCGCATCTCGGTTAGCTTCTTTGCAGACTAGCACCTAGTAGAGTAAAAGGGCATATTACAAGTCTTTTGAGGTGCATGCTTGGTCACTTTGCGAATGAGTTCGGGGATCTCATCCCACTTGTTCTGACAACGGGCGTTGTCCAAGGCAGCAATATAGCGACGCCCCTTCTCAGAATGGGCCTATCGGAAGCACGTGTCAATATAATTGGAGACATTGCAATCTTCGTTTGCGAATTGCAGGGGAGTAACACGTAGCCTGATGTGGCAGAAGTTTAAGGGCAAGTACTTACAGCCATGATTAAGGATGTAATGTTAGAGTTAGGAGGAGAATAGCAGAATCTGGGGGAGGGCAGTCGAAACAGTACCCATAACTAGTAGTTCCTACCCCGAGGCTCCGGCACAAGATCTGCTACCTAGGGAAAAACAAAGTGTACTTCTCCTCAATGCGCAAGTCCCGAGGACTTAACTCTGATGATCATCATTGTCCAGGGGAGAGGAACAACTGGAACCACCATTGAGACCCGCTTGGGGGTTACGCACGTGTAATTATTGGTCGGTGGGTAACGGTTAGTACCACTTTTACCTTACCGTCAAGTTTGAACACAATATGTAGCGTATGGTACGGTACCTCCGAGGCTTCATGTGGTCAAAGCTTTTCCGCTCCTCCAAAAAAAAAAGAAAAGTCTCCAAGATCACCGAAGGTACCTCCAGTATCTGACGACGACACGGGCGCGTTACCAAGATGGCTTCCATGTCGATGTCCTTACATGCTGTCAATCATCGCCTGACCAACATACCCGTCAAACAATTGCCTCCCCTCGCATCATGTCTTGCGACTTCGTTGAGCAATTGCGGGGAGCTACTTTCTGCGCCGCAGAATCAAAAGTCCAAATCTGAGTCGGACAATGCCGTTCAAGTGCACAAACTTATGACCCGCCTGGCGAGCTTGCTGCAGGATAGATCTCCGGAAGGTCGGTGGACTGCGGTCGTGCTTGTAAAAGCCGTCGTGGAAGCCGGTCAATGGGAAATCCTACGGGGTTGCGAACCGCTTGTTCGCGGGCTCATTGCGATCCTTGCGGTACGTACTTGATTCACAGGTCGCAAGTGGAATTCGAGTGATTCAATTCCAATTAAGATGCTGATACTATCGCCAAACAGAAACCCGATCCGAATTCCACCAAGAAAATGTCTATCATCACTTTGACACGCATCTTCCACCTCACCTACCAGTATCCCACCCTGGTGCGCGAGATCACGACCCCGTCTTTGCCAAGCTTCATTACTTCGGCTTTGAATCTTATCTCGGTCAAACCTTCGTCGGAACCGATCAGGAAGTTGAAGCCTCACAGTCCATTCTTGGAAACCGTCCTTAACGCACTCGGAGAGCTGATCGCACGGCATCCAACTATTTTCCGTCCATTCTCGGCGCAGATTCACAGTATCCTTCAAGCAATAATTGGTTCAACGTCGCCTACATTCCCTCAGACTGTACTGGCCTCTGCCGAACGACTGTTTATCTCTTTGCACCATTGCGCTCCGAAAAATACGTCCGGAGAGGAATGGAAGAACGCCTGCCGGATGACAATAGCTTCTATTCACGGGGCTGCGGATTACGTATTCCGAGCGGTAGTGGAACAATGGGAATCCGTGGATCCAGCTCTCCGACAAGCCTCGAAACCGCAAGATTATAGCAGGGAAGTCAGTGATGGGGGACTAGATACTTTGGGGCTCGCAGGTTGGCAGGGACTTGACTCGGGTGTGAACAGACTTGTCGTACTCCTTCAAATGCTCTCCACCTACCTTACTACCGCGACGGCTTCTATGATCTCCATCCCGATAGGCCACATAATGGATCTAACATCTCGACTTACTGCTGTGGTTGTTCCCTCCGACGGACGAGATATCCAAGCCAACCCGCAGATTAGCCGTACGGAAAGGGAGCATCTGTTCGCTGAACTTCCTCGTATCCACGTTGCCTGCATGGAGCTTCTTCAAAACCTTGTAAAGTCTCTCGAGACCGGCGCCATTCCTGTGACACAGACGATTCTAGAGCAGACTCTCTGGGTCTACCGTGCGGAAAAATTCAGTCGAGAAATTCGCGTTTCCGCCTATGACCTCGTTCAGACCCTGCTCACCCGCATGGGACCATCGTTGACAAAACAAAGCCTCACTTCCCTTGCTGATTTGATCCGAGCTTCCTGCCATGATCTTTTGCCTCCTGTGCACGATCAGAGCGCCTCGGCGAGAGCACCATCTGACGCGAAAGGCAAAGCCAAGTCCAATCATACTACAGCAAACGCCGACTCCTTCCTCAACCCCATGCTGAAGCAAGGCCGTCAGTCTAATATGTCGTCTTTCTCTAGCCTTACTAGAGCCGCATCGGAGCTGCTAGCTGGTGTGCTTACACATGCTCCGACAGAATACTTGTCTCCTTCGCTCCGAGCTGAGATTGATCGGACGATCATCTTAACATCTGATAAGCACACTATGCTTGCCAGTGTTCTTAATCCTGTCCCTGCCGTAAAGGGTCGCGGCGTAAGCGCCAGCATCATGCCATTCTTAGCCCGGAGCTTCCCTGCGGAAATGGAGGTGGAGGCTCTCATCAAACCTAGGATGCCCGTTTTGATGAATGCCCCTGGTATTGGCGGATACACTGATATGGAGGAGGACGAGGAAGAAGACGTACCTGCGCCTGTTTCTGGGACAGCCCCTGAAAGCACTGGATTTCTCCAACCGTCATCCACCCCTGTCCTACACCACGACATGATGGACACGGATGTTTCCCATAAGGCCGCCCCAACCTTAAGCAAACGCAGCCTTGCGGAGGACAGCAAACCGCAGCTTGCGTCGCTCGGTTCGACAGGGAATGTAGACTCTAACTTACAGAGTAAACGGCCCCGTGTCGAAGGCGATGTCAGTGCTGTTGCCAGTCAGCCATCTTTGGACAGAGCATCCCCCGAGACGTTTACCGGTACCGCTGCTGTCTCCGTTCCTTCGTCCTCAGCCACCGTCACATCAGCTCCACCCCCTCGGGTTGCTAGCGTGAATGCACCATCTACAGCAACCGTCGGTGGTCCACTATCAGGCTCAGCCGTCGCACAGACCACCTTGGCAGATGCTGAAGAGGATGACAGCGAGGACGACCTGCCAGCATTGAACATTGACCCGGACACGGAAGATGAAGATGAGGACGAGGATGAGACCATGGAGGGCTAATGTGTATAATACAAACGTTGAACCACAAAATATCATGAACTATATTCGTATATA